GTTAGTAGAAACACCGGTCACAAGACTTTGAGGATATCCAGGTTCTTTGCCACTAGCAAACTCTGCAGATGCCACGAAGTAACAAAGACGCTCTATCAAAACACTGCCTGGTCTACCTGTAAAAGGTAATGCCGCCCAATATAGGAGTGGAACACATTTTCAAAAAATGATTATTGGATCTGGGGAAGTAGCTTAATTGGCAGAGTGTTTACCTAGCATGCAGGAAGCGCTACATTCAACCCCCAGCACTGCACAAACCAAGCATGACAGCACACACTTGTAATACCAGTACTTGGGAAGTGGAGGCAAGAGGATCATAGTTCAGTGTCATCCTTGGTTATTATAGGGTGTTCAAATCTAGCTTGGACTACATGAGACCCTGTCTCAGAAAAAGATTTCCTTTTCCTAAAATTGCTCATTTCTACTCTGCCCTAAGAACTAGCTTTGGTACAAAAGATAAATTGGTTTCATTCTTCTAAGAGCACCATTGTTGAGAACATTATACTTAGACCAGTGCTACGTTGATAAATCAGCTATCTAGGAGAAAAAAAAAAGACTTAATGACTTGTCACACTTGCCAATTGCTATGGTGTACACTTTTATACTGTGGCTGATTTCAATCTAGTAATTTCCCCATGACTCAGCTGACCAAATACTAAGTACCTAACAATAGACTCTAGAGAGCCCTACACCACACCAACGAGGCTCCAGCCCTTTACTTTTCTTAGTCCTTTTGTTGCTTATTGATATCCTTGCTGTGTGAAGGACAAAAAGGAATAAAAAGTGACTTTCCAAATATCAGTGGTTCCAGCAAATGAGCGAATGGGAATGAAGCTGCAACTGCTGACAAGCTGTTTTCACGGGTTTCTCTCACTTCGTTCTGTCCATCCTTTATTACTACAGATAATGGAGAATCAAATGAAGGGTACAAAATAAACGTTTTCTGACCAAATACAGAATCAATGACTACTACCTACAAGTACAGAGAAAAGAAGCTATGCTAGAAACCTAGGAGAGGGAAGGTCATCAACGAGACAGACGGGAAGCTAGGCTGGGGAACCAAACAACAGGGAGAGTATTTTCCTAAAAGCTGAAGATCATAGTGGCCCGTGGGATCAGAATTTAAACATGAAAAGGGTTACCAATTGAATAGAAGGGGAAAACTATTTAGCAGAAAGAATACATTTTTATCTTCACACCGTTGGAAACTGGGACAATCTAGGAAAATTTAATGAAGCCCTGTGATGATTTAATCTGCCAAAAAAAGTCTCACCCACCACAGCAAAGAGGCTCCCTGGGAGGGATTTATGCTTAGAAGAGGCAGCTGGCACTATTTCTTAGCTCTCACCAAGACTCTGACCTGACTTTTCCTTCCCTCTGTTCCTGACAGAGACAAGGCCACAGAAGTACCATAATCTATCACAAAACGTGTTCGTGCTGTAGGGCAACTCTGTTTCTCTAAGTGAAGAATAGAGTTCAAAGTGAGAGTTGTCTATAAAAGCAGTTTTATTTTTATGGTTCAGTAAATGTTTATTGAAGTGAGTCCCTTTCTGTGTGACAACACTTGGCAGACCCAACCTCCCTTGTGGACAGAGCTGAGGTAGGAAGATGCCCCCTCCCCCAATCTGGAACAAGGGGACTTTTCAGGGCTTACTCTAGCAACAGCTGTCACTCTACCTGAGTATGAAGTGGAATGACTTAAACTCAAGCCACATGGGAGATAATTAAAAAACAAGTGAAAATAAGATTACAAGAAAAACGTGTATGAAAGACAACCAAAGCTAGCAGAGCCATTCTCAGCAACAAGCAGAAGCTGACGGAAGAAAGGGCCTCTTCCTTCCTTACCAACAGAGTACAAAGCAGTGAGAAGGGAGCCTCTGCTTGCTTAAACAAACAAAAATGTGCAAAGTGTGTCTGTGGGAACCGACTTTTTAAGTTTTAAAACCTGCAGAGAGTCAAAGAGAAACAAAGACAGATTTAATCCTAAGGATCCTAAATCTGTTGATTACCTAACTCAAGTAGAGAGTAATTTTCCTCTTTCACTAGACCATTAATACAGCCATCAGGGATTTGGACAACATTATGATACAAAAAGGAGAAAGTTAAGGCAGGAACTGTGTTGTTGCTCCCAAGAAGAAGCAAAAGCCAGAATGGACCCCACTGGTGAGCACAGCAGAGTGGACCTGGGTACCTCGGCCGTGTGGGGGTCACATGTGACAGAGGCAAGCGTGAGATCACCAGACAGCATGGATAGGAGAGCTGAGATTTTAAAATAGCAAACAGATTAGAAGCATCAAGGGAAAGCTGGAGATGTGCCTCAATGATACAGCTCTTGCCTAGCATGACTGAAGCCTTAGGTTCAGTCTCCAACACACACACACACACACACACACACACACACACACACACACCTCAAATTAATGCAGAGCTCTCAAATGGATCAAGATTTACTGAAATCCATCAGAGTAACTGATTCCTCTGAGTGAGGCAGAGGAAAGAGGATCCTCCTGTGGTATTAGTCAAAGCCTGATTTCTGCATGGCAAAGGAAGAGAAATGTGAATTAAGCAAACTGCAGCAAAGAGTAGAAGTGGAGCTTTTACAGATGCTGAACACAGATGTGACTGAATACTAGCTGTCCTTGGTTTGCTGGGTTATGAATACAGGCACAAATCTAATCTCTGGGTCTAAAAGTTCCAGTCAAATAAAGGAACTGAACTATGTGCTCCAAATACAATTCAACAATTCAAGTTGTAGGATTCTAGGGAGTTAACAGTCAGGAGAGGAGAATGTAGGCCTCTAAGGAAATGACAGGCCCACAGCCACATTCTTTCACTGGGAGGATAAAAAAGGACTAGAGAGTGGACACGGCCACTGGGAGCCGGTCAGACTTCAGCTGAGCTGTCAGATCCACAGCCACTCAACTCCTCCTGCCCTGAGCCCAAAGCCACAACCCAGAAGGGCACAGCCTGCTCTCAGGACATTCCATCCCTTGGATTATTTGATGACGTCTCTGTCTCCTAACCTCCACCGACCAGGGTACAATTTTCTAAAAGCAGAGAAAATCCTTTCCAAGAAAATAAACACTCTGGAACAACCGTCCCTTTCTATTACCTATTCAGATTATATAATTACTACAAAGTCAAAACTTTCATACTGACGGCACTAAAAAAGGACTCTCAGCTCATACAAACTGAACTACCTTTTTCTCTATGTCCCTAAAAGGCAGTTATTACTGCCCACAGTAATGGTCATGAAATAGCACTGCTTCACCTTGCTATTCCAAACAGAAACTCACATCAAAGTCATTTGAGTCTGGGAATATACAAATCCCGCACAGGATATCCAACAACGACAACAGAACAATAATAAATATCCATACTAATGCTCCAAACTGCCATGCACTGAAAATACTGCATATTTGGTCAAACTCGAGGATAATTTAGATGCGCACCCGTCTTCATTTTTCTACTAGATGGAAAAGTGGGCTATCAGTAATTGGTAGCTGGCATCATTTAGCAGCCAAGGAAAAGGGCAAACTCCCCCTACTATTCCCTCACCACTTAGCATGAACTCCCCTTTCAGGGGTGTTTAGAACAGCCACTAATAAGATTGACTAGAGGGCTGGGGAAAAGGTGTTTGCCACCAAGCCTGATAACCTTAGTTCAATCCCTGCCAGGACTCACATAGTAGAAGGAGAAAACCAACTCCCAAAAGTTGTCCTTGGACCTCCATACATGATGTGGTGCACACACACACACTACTTAAAACAATTTTAAGAAGAGATTGGCTAGGGCCTGGAGAGATGGCTCAGCAGTTAAGAGCACTGGCTGCTCTTGTAGAGGACCAGAGTTCAATTCCCAACACCCATATGGTTGCTAACAACCATCCAGGGCTCCAGTTCCAGAGGATCCAATGCCCTCTTCTGACCTCCGTGAGCATTTTCACACACAGGTGCACTTACATATGTTCAGGTAAAGCATTCACACACATAATAACAAAATTAAAAGATCGACTAGAACCCAACATAGCACAACACTAATTAAGGTATCTATACTCTTCTGGTTGAGGCTGCAGTAAAAGGCTGAGGGTTCCTATTATAGGCTGCTCTAACTTGTTCATCTGGATTAATGCAGAAATAGTCACCTCTTATAATCACTGTACTTTGTTCATTCAGTTATTTTAAAGATCAATGAGATAATGTGCCTAAGGTGTTGAGTAAGAACCTGGTGCACAAAGAACTCAATAAATATTAGAAACGGTAAAGCAGAAAGACTGTCTCCTGACGCCTATCAACTTACTTAGAATCAGAAAGCTTAGAACCATAAGGCAATAAGGCAGTCAGTTCTATGGCCCAATGCAGAGGTCTGGGCTATCCCCTAGATGCAGGTCACTTGCTGCGACAGAACTTCTCGTGACTCCACAGGCACTTGTGTCTCACTACTGCCTCTTCCACAATAACTGAGAAGCAACAGAGTAAAACAATGCAAACAGAACTGCATCTGTAGGAGTTTTGCCAGAAGTCAAACATCCCACTAGAAAAGTGCCATCAGTGTATGGATGGGGGATATTTTTTAAAAAAGTATAAAATCTAAATATCCTAATGGAAAGGTTATTACCCCATCATTGACCATACTCTGTAAGACTACCTCTTCTCTAAATGTTAGGTTACAGATAAGTTCTTTCTAAGACATACCTAGCAATCTTTTAGATTTAGATATGCTGAATATTCCCTTCCAGGTATAAAACTGTTTTGTGATTTCAGAAAACATAAGGTAAGCTAGGTAGTAAGCAAGTTCTATTACACTACAGTTTGTAATTTAATTTTCTATTCACCAAGAGAGCACACATGATAAACCAGGGTCACCTTTACATGGCACGCTATAGTTTATGGCTATGCAGGAAAAGTTTTAGAAGGTGGCAAGATGAGTGATGCCAGGATTCCAAAGAAGACAGTACATTTGTAACAGTCATGAGACTGTTTGGAGAAAAAAAGTGGCCATAAAATTGGTCATTTTTATTAAGTATTGTATCTTTTCAACTTGTTAAAGATCAGACCATGACATAATTTTTCTTTTAAAACCAGGAAAGACATCAGTATTGTGTCTATTCAACTTGTACAATACCAGGCTATGTAACAATCTGTACTTTGTAAACCATGCTTTCTAAAATGTGTGAAGGGCAGGTACAGCCCTTATTGGAGACAGGTAAGTTAATGTTCTACCTCGTACTGATGACTTGTTTTATTTCACTTGATATAAGTCTTTATGACAACCTTTTATTACCATGGAAATGTACATTCTCTACAATTCAAAGTAATAAATGCAACTTGTAAAAGTCAGGTTTTTTTATTTAATACATTCTAATCAAATAGTAACAGCAGTAAATAAACACTTTGAAAAACAGGCAGGTATCCCCCTATATCTGGAAGAAAATTAAGACAAAGTATTCTACATGGTAGAAGGGAGACAACTGTTACTGTTAGACAATTCAAGGACAACCTGGGAACTTTTATAGCCATTTCCAAAAATTCAATGGCAATAGTTTGAGATACAGCTACTTCAAAGGGTAAAAAGTCTCTATCTACATTGGTTTTTATTATCAAGGGTTGAGTTGCACCTGTATAGCATGACATTCTTGTCTTTAGCCTTAAAGGAAAAGAAAATCTTTTCCATTTGCACCAGTTTGAATGTTTCTGAAGTAAGGCTCCCTTGACATGGATTACTACAGTACTCATTCGCAGGAGTTTTTACGTGTAATAAAAAGACAAATACAGGATTTCATTGTTACTTTTTTTTGGTTGATTTGATTAATTGCATAAATGAGGGATAAATACAAGCAGTTTGGTTTAACAAAACTCCTAGGTACATCAGAATGCAAAATATAAAATGTCCTAAAACAGACTGATGGCCAGGCATCTAGAAGTGGAGCTAAGCCTGATCAGCCTGGGTCCTTTCCTTCTTCAGTATTCCATATGGAAGTCGTTCTCTACTATGGAGCTTGGACTTCTGACCCCATTGCTCAGGAACTTGAGAAAGACAAGGCATTCAATGATAACAATGCCTCTTCAGCCTGTACTGGGGCATTGTTTTTCATTGAAAAGGGTCATCTGGCCTTGGTCAGCCATAGGTAAGAAGCATCACTCAGCTCAAACTATCTAGGGGAACTTTAAAATACCTAGCTACCTCTTCACAACTTTAAATTAGATTAAGTCCCACTGTTCTTAAGGAAAAATTCAGCGCAGTTATCCAGCAGTCCCTCAGTTTTTGTTCTCTTTCCCATAGCTGCATTCAGAGAGACTCTACATGAGGCATATTGAAAAAAAGAGAATCACTTATACCTGGAATTTATATTCTTCCAAGTAATCTTTTAGTCTTGTTGGTAAAGGCAGTCCCCAGATGGTACCGGTACATTTGTTAATGGTGAGTCGACAGAAATGCTGTAGGGATGGTGCTGATGTATACAGCGGTTTGGTCAGATACAGGTGAACAGTTCCATTCCGAGGGGCTTCTGGGCCCTTCTGTTTATCCTTGCACATCTGAACATAGTAGTCAATCAGATGAACCACACTGTCAAACTGTTTAAGCTTGGACTTGACACATATGATAGAATCCAATCTGAATTTCCCATCTTGGTACTCAATCCGAAGATTAGTCGGTCCTGCTGACGTCTTAACAGATATTGTTAGTAGGTAGTCTGAATGTGAACTATCTCTAAGCAAGAAAGTTCCTTCTGGCGCCTCTTTTAATTTTTCTTTGGCTTCGTTAACAGTCATACTTCCCCAGTACCATCCTAGGATTTTTGTTCAAAAAGAAAAAGAAAAGAAAGTGAAATTGTTATTATAAGAACTTTTAGAATACAGTCTGTACTTGCCAGTAATTTTTCTAGTTGTTTTGTTTGAGACAGGGCCTCATGTAGCACAGGCTGGCCTCAAACTCACTATGTAGCCAAGGATAATCTTGAACTCCTGATTCTCCTATTTCTACCTCCCAAGTGCTGGAAGTACAGGCCTGCACCACCGTGCCAGGCTAATTTTTCTTGTTACATTAAAAAAAAAAAAAAAAAAAAGTCTGCAAGTGAACATTTATCAGGGCCTACCATAAATCTTGTTGTAGGTATTTAATGAAAATTTGAGTTCATTTTTTTCTATGAGCACAACTTGTGAGCTAATTTTCTTTCTTTTTAGATGACGTTCTGTTGTTCTTTATACTATGTTATGATTTTTTTCTAATAAGCCAAAAGAGCTATTGCAATATGACATACTGTCTGACAAAAACACGATGCTTCTGGTACAGTTTACATAATGCTTTTGGTATAGTTTAATTGAAAGAAAAAGTAAGTAAATTATAAGTTAGGGAAAAAGTAGAAAACTCATCTCCAGTAACTCCAGTAAAAACAGGAGCAACTTTCTGGAATGGTTAGAAGCCCCCCCCCCCCCCTCTGCTAATGTTGAATCTCTGCTCAAAGCCCTAGAAAGAACCACTGTTTACTACTTTGATTACAACTAGCTCACTGAGAAAAGGGAAGTGAGGATAACCAGCATTTCACGTTTACAGTCTTCATTACATTCTTTTGGAATTTGCCCAGGTTCAGTTTGTATCAGTTTATCAAAGCCCTTGGTATGCCCCTAAATTTTCCATTTGATTCATCTAAGCCATGTCCGAGTCCCATCCGGCTTACAAAAGTGACTCAAAGACATTGCAGTTTATAAATCTGAACAATAGGCTCTCCCACCACCAAAAACAAAAAACAAGCAAACAAAAACACCAGGAAATTTGAAATTCGTCGATCTCTCCCAAGAAGGGAAAGAAAGCCCAGGCAGAAGGAAAGACTGGAAAGCCAAAAGGAGGGACTTTTCCCTCTCCCCCTGTCTATTGCTACTAAAAGTTGTTTTGCCTCGGACTTAAGCTTTTAAAGAGCACAATTTTGAAAGCCTGAATAGTTTTCGAGATATATGACAAAAACTAAAATATGCACTTTCTTTCCTTTTTTTTTTTTTTCTTTTCTTTCCCAGTTGCCCAGACCTCAGCGGGCCGCCGAGCTGCCCCCCAGAACGAGCCGCACCCCGCCTGCCTTGACCCGATAGCTGCGCTGCGCTCCGCACAGTTGGTCCTTGAACTTGGTCGCCACCATCCCGGGCTGCAGCGGCGGGTCCACCCCGGGAGCCAACCGCAGCTGGGAGCGCTGCGCCCACTCGCTGCCCTGGCACCCTGAAGGACCCGAGGTGCTGGGCACTTTCTCCCGCCAGGGTGCGAGCCGGAGCGCCCGACCCTCCGCAGTGGCAGCGCCGCAGCACTGGGTCCAGCGCCCGGTCCACGCAGAGGCAATTTCCGAGGAGTCCCGCTCGCGCTCCGCCCTCCCTCAAGCCTCAGCGTCCCTCCGAAACCACTTTCTTTTTACATTTTCTCAAGGAACCCGGCCCAGGCGGGCGGGCATCCTTCCCCGCAGTCCCTGGCCACACAGCCATAGTTCCAGCGCTTCCCGGACTTCCCACCTGGGCTGGCGTCCCAGCTGCACTGCCCGCCATCGCGGCCGCCACCGCTCTCGTCGCGGCCCGCCAGCTCCCTACCTGTCTGACTGAGTTCCCGCAGGGCCTTGGCCAGCCGCGCCGCCTCCGGGGACGGCTCCTCCGCCGACCCCGCGGTCCCCCACTGGCTCCGCGTCCTGTCCGCGCCATTACCGGAGGACTCCAGGCACCGCAGGGTCATGGGAGAGGAGTCAACAAGTCAGAGTCAGGTGGTCGCCCGAGCTGGGACCAGAGAGGCCCTCTCGTCCTTGCTGGAAGTCCGAGGGTACCCCAAAGCAGTCTCTGAGGGATGTCCGAAATGGTGGCGGAGGGGACGGGAAGCAGCTAGTTCTTTCTCCCCAAGTCCCGGCAGATCGATGGCAAAGTCTCTCGAAGACACTATCACCCACAGATCGCCTGAAGAGAAAATGGGGCAGGGATTGGGTCAGTCTGAACTGGACCCTGTGGTTGGGGTGGGGGTGGGGAAACAGACGTGGAAAATCCCTGGACTCCTCCGCCTTCATGCTCCCGTACCATTTAACCCCAAGCATCCAGTTACCGCCCTGCCCAGCTCTGGATGGGGGAAAAAAAAAAGGACAAAAAGAGCAGCAGTCCAATCCAAGACACAAGAGATGGCCTGGATGGGAAGTGGGGGAGAGGATGAGGATGAGCAAGGTGTTTTCCCGCCCAAGGGCTACACACTCTATTCACAGACTGGCAGCCCAGTCACCTGCGGGTCAGGATAGGCCTTGACCAGAGACAAGTAGAAAAATATTTAATGGAAAGAACAGAGCAATACTACCCCCCGCCCCGCCAACGCCCACACACACTTGGCATTTCCATCTTGCACTTCCAGCAGCCCCAGGGCCCTCGGGTAGCAAAACCCCGTTCCACTCCCTAAAGCGCCACAGGGCTCCCTCCCGGGGCCGAGCCACCAGTTTGGGGTGCGGCGGTGCAGGAGGCTAGCGCCGGCCACCGCATCCCCGCCGCGCCTCCTGTCCGCGGCTTCCCGGTGCGCGGCGCCGGCAGGGCTGCGGCGCTCTCTCTGGGACCGGGATCGCGGCTGCAGTAGCAGCCGCCGCGGGCGCTGTCGAGGAATCGGCCGGAGCGCGCAGCCCCCGCCGGAGCTCTGGGCAAGGCCGGGGCTGAGCGGGCAACAGCGAGCGCAGTGGGTCGTACCACCAGCCGACGTGGAGCTCTAACCTCCGCCGTGGCGACCGCCGCCAGGGCACAAAGCAGCTTCCCCAGCGGACATGGGGCGGGGGAGCCCGGGAGAGGAGGGGTGTCTGCCTGAGTTCCCCCTGTGGACGTTTAATTTGGGAACGTGATGCCTGGGGATGCAACCCGCTCTTCGCTGGGCAGAGACGGCCGGACTTTTCTGCGCCCAGGGCAGACAAAAATCCCAGCGATCCTCGCCTCACCCCGCGCCCCGGAGCAGCTGCCGAGTTTCCCTCCAGAGAGCGGCGAGCGGGGAGGTGGGAAGGGGAGAGGGAGGGAGGAAGGAGCAAGGGCGGAGGCTGGCAGACGGGGAGGAGCGGGAGGTTATTAGGATTATAAATTCGGGAGGGAAGGGAGGGTCCCGAATACTTCCCAAGGTCGGGGAAGACTCGGAGGGCGCAGGCAGTTGAGCCCGGCTGTGGGGCAGAGCCTCGACTCGAACTCCCGCCCCGGCAGCGCTTAAGTGCCGAAGCCGGGGGCAGCCGGGCGCTCCCAGCGCACGCGGCCGCGCCCGCCGCCCTCCCCAGCTACTGAGCCCGGGGCGGAGCCTTCGGGCTTCCCCAGCGGTACCTGCCGCAGGCTTCCGGGCTCCGGGCGCCGGCGATCTCGAAGCTGCGCTCCCAGGGCCCCGGCGCGCACTGTCCGCGGCCCGCGCAGCGTCGGCGGCTGCAGGAGAGAAGGCTCATGCTTCAGAGGAAGCCCAGGGCCCAGGAGCCGCAAAAGCGGCGAGACTTGGCAAGAGTTAAACGTCTGTCCCCGGAGCAGAGTGTGCGCGCGACTTCCCAGTCCGCCGCGCCTCCCTCGCTCCCCCTCTCCCTCCCCTCGGGCCCCGCCCGGAGGCTGCGGAGGCCGCTTTCCAGGAACTTTCCAGGAATCCGCCTCACGTGACCGCAGCCCCCGCTACCGCTTTAAAGAGGCTCCGGCCCTAATGCGCAGGCTTCGAGAGAGGCGGGCTGAGAGCGTGGGGATGCGGGTGCGGGTGCCGGTAGCCGCGGCGTGGAGGCCTGGGACTCCGCCCTCCCTTAACCCCGCACCTCGGGGTGTTGGGGACAAACAAGAGAAGCGTCCGGCTGCTGCCCACCCCTTTGGAGCAGCCAGTGCCTGCCCCTACCTGCATCAGCTGAGCACCCTGATCCCACGAATAGCGGCCGCCGTCCTCCCCCCCCCACGGCCCGCAGTGGAGGAGGGGGACTGCCTTTCCAGCCACCAGCCCCCTTTCCGCGCCTTCTAGACGCGACCTTGAGCAGGACAGGGTGCAGGACCCCAGAGACCCCAAGGCCTCGCTCGTTCTAAGACACATTGGTGGAGGGGAGAGACAAGCCCTTGCTGGGATCGGTGACCATTCCCAGGGGCCGGAGGAAGCTGGCCAGGGGCGGTCCCCATGGCCGGTGTCTTAGAAGGTAGCGTGCAGGAGACTGGAGCCTCCTTAAAGCCTCGCGGGCTGCTCTCCATCCCTCCCCCTGGAGCTCCTGCGGGTAGTCTTCTGCACCAGCCCTGCCCAGCTCCTCCCTTCCTCCTGGGCTCTGGCCTGCAGTGTCTTTCCGGAGATCTGATGCATGCCGGGCCAACCTGCCGGGCCTGCAGACGAGGCTCTCTTACCTGTGTGCCTGCGAGGTAACCGAGGTACCCAGGCCTCCGAGCACTTGTCTTTGGGATTGATTCCCGGAGGAGCCGGAGCCCAGGGACCTGGAATTTGAATGGACCCCAGCACCTCTTCCCTACTGGGACCCTCACCTCCCACTCTTTTGGAGACCACCTGGTCTTAGTGGAAACTTCTGTCTGCCCTCATCCTCGCACGCCCCTGAAATGCGACCCACTTTAAATGTGACCTACTTTAAAAAAAAATTTTTTTTTCCTATTAACACTCATGGGAAAAACGGATCCAAAATTTTGATAACCATTTTTCTTTGAAATACTATTCTATTGCACCATTGCTCAAAAAATTGAAAGGTCAACGGCCACTTTTAGTAAAAGCTGCGGCTAAGAGGAAGTTGGGCAGGAGGGCTGGGAATGGGGGAGGTGCGGTTTGCAAACCTTGCCTGGTGCCCCGCCTGCCGGCCTTGGGAGGAAACACAACCAATTAGTTTTCAGCCTCCATGGCCCATGGCCCTGGACCAACGTTCTTTCCACAGTAATTTTCCTGCTTTTAAGTAATTGTGGCCACATGATAGGCAGGTGAATGAGAGGGGAGGTATCCTAGCTAACACGGGCTTTGTCAGCGAGAGTCCTGTGTATGGGATTCGTTTTTTAGAGTCTTTGGTGGAAAGGATGGAGCTAATTGAATTATTAGAAAATCTCTACAAAGTAGCTAATTAAGTGGACAGGGAATTTACCTTCTTTAGATCCTCAGCCTTTTCTCTACAGTTAAAATCTAGATTTGAGTTTTTGGTGAAAGACTATCATAAACGAACAAATGAGATTCTCCATAGAGTTTCTGTGGAGTGGGAGGCCCCAATTAAACTTTAAGAACCACGAGATATATTTACTAGGGCTCACTATGGCCAATGTTCCTATATGGCTTCTCCTTCCTTACTAGAGAATCTCAGAGAAAAGTGTAACTATACTCTTGTATTTTTAAGTTAAAATGTATTCCTAACAGTTTTGACAAAGATTAAACAAATAATTCCTATTTGTCAGTTGAAATAAATCTACTAGGTGTATTAGTTAACTGATGCTGTGGCCAAATATCTGACAGACTCAGTTTAAGGGAGGAAGGACTTACTTGTGCTCACAGTTTAAGGGAAACAGTCCATCATGGCAGGGAAGCCTGGGGGCTAGGGCTCCCTCCACAGGCAGGAATTGGTGGTGTAGCTTAGGAAGGGAGGGGCAGGAAACAGGTATAGTTGGTCACTTCTAGCACTCTCAATCAGCATACCCCAGCAACCAACTTTTTCTCAGTTAAGTTCCACCTCCTTAAAGGCTCTACAACCTTTCAGACTAGTGCTACCATCTAGGGAACAACTGCTCAGACACATGGCGGCGGCGGGTGTGTGTGTGTGTGTGTGTGTGTGTGTGTGTGTGTGTGATTTCCTGTTCAAATCACAGCATGTGCTTTCCTTTGTTTCCTAGGGCCTTTGCACATGCTGGTCCTTCTTTCTAGCATGCCCCTCTGAAGTGTAGGGTAGGCTGCCATTATTCAGAGCCTACCTCAAAGTCACCTCAACAGACTCATTATCAGATTGCAGTATACACATCACTCTAGGGGCATCAAACTTTGTACGATTTTCAACTTTTGTTTCTAGACTATTTCCCAGCAGAGCCCAGCATTTTGTTGGCCCTTTTAATCCTCTAGAAATACTATAGGAGACATGTGGGAAAATATTTATGGGATCATGGCAAGTGAAAAATTCAGAACATGAAATCAGACCTTTGCTATAATCATATTATGCCATTGTGTGTGCATGTGGGCCAGACCAGTCGGGAATGTGGAGAAATGAAAGCAGGTGTTTGGGGATGGGTCGCAGGATACAGATGAAATTTTAAATCTGACTTTCTTTAATACTTTATTAATATTTTTGATAGTTGCCCTTTTTCCAAAATCACATGTGAATCAGTGTCTTCAATTACTCAATATCTATTGACCTTGAACTCCAGTGCTGAATGACCTGTCTCCTGAGCTCTGCCGCTCTGAATTAGCTTTATCAATGTCTAATAGGCGTCTCCAATTAAATGTCCCAAATTGAACCCCAGGACTTCTCCCTGCTTTAAACAAAAGTCCATGCCATTCATTTGCACCCTCCCTGCCTCTCATACCACTGATTCCAATGTTCAGTTGCTCAGGCCAAAAACCTCAGAGCCTCGGACTGATCGCTTTCACACACACACTCCACATCCTACTTGCTGGCCAATTTTTCCACTCTGATTTCACAATAGACCTAGAATTGAAGTGCTTGGTGCATGTCTAGTGCACACCAGGCCAGACCACCCTAACCTCTGCCCAGTGACTGCAGCATCTCTTAAATTGCTTCCTTGCTCCTTTGCAGTCTCTTGACAGAGAAGTGAGAGTAATTCTGCATCCTTTTCTTCCTCTTTCCCATCCCAAGTGGCTAGATCACACCCAAATAAAAGACCAAACGCTGCCATTTGCAAGGTCCTACAAGATCTGTTCCCATTTATCTTCTGGACATCACTCTTATGGCTCTTTGTGTCAGTTACTCAGCTCCAATCATACTGAACTCCTTGACATTTCAAGAACAGTCTGCTCTTCTCTTCTTCCTTTTCAAGTCCTTTGCATTTGCTATTTCCTCTCATGCTCTTCTTTCAGATATCTTTATGGTTTGCACACAGCTTCCTCAGATTTCTATTTAATATTCCTTTCTCACCATCCCTTTCAGACTACACACACACACACACACACACACACACACACACGTTTCTCTTTCCGTGACACTGATCACTATCTAACCTAGTTTATGGTATTTTACTTTGGGGGAGAGGGGAATTTTTGAGATAAGATTTTGCTCTGTAACCCAGGCTAGCCCCAAACTCAAGGGAACCCTCCTACCTCAGCCGCATCCGACTGATCGCTTCCGCACACACTCCACATCCTACCTGCTGGCCAATCTTTCCACTCTGATTTCACTATAGATGTAGAGTTGAAGTTATGGGGCTACAGGTGTGAGTCGTCACACCCAGCTTAGATGTCTAACTTGTATGTCATTTCCTCTAGAATGTAAGCTTTGTGCATCTGTCCTTGCATTGTTCACAGCTGTGGGGTCCTGCTTTAGCACCAAGAACAGTCCCCAACATGTAGGAGGCATTCAACATCGTTGATGAAAGAATACATGCAGGAATGAATGCATGAATGAATAAATATATTAGCATTAGCAGCATGGCTTTGAGTTTGGACTTCCCACATATGAATGAAACTCTCAGTCTGTCACCACTTGCCACATACGCAATTTTTGGCAAATTACTTAGCCTCTCATGGAGACAATGATAGATCCTATCTTACGGGGATGGTATGACAGTTGAAATAATCTATGAAAAATGCTTTGGCACCTGGCACACCCTTTATTATTTCACCTTTCATCCTTTTACCCTCAGTGAGTTTGAGTTGTTTTACTTTTGCTTATATGAAATGAAATGGTCACCCACAACCCTTGCCACAAACTTTTGCCTTTGGCTGCCTGAGAACTTCATGGAACTGATTCCCTGAAGTTCCCATTCAACTTTAAAATGGATAGGCATCAAAAGTGAAGCTGTTCTGTCCCTGCATATCTAGAAACATGTCTGTTCAGTGAGGCAATGTCCTGACAGTGGCAGAGAGCTGCTGTTCTACCTGAGGAGGGAAGGGGAATGGTGCTCACCGAGCTAGGGAGCTCTTTCCTTTGCCTGCGTTGAGAAATGGCCCAGGCTTGAACACCCTTACAGTTCTGCAATTTGTATGTGTTAATACTAGAACTGACATGCTTTTGCCAAGTTGAAGAAGTTGGATGAGCAATGGGATGATCTT